AGACCTAGGAAGGGTGAAAAGTCCATCCTGAAGGAGTATCAGCTTGTCCATCTAATGAGGAAATGCTTTCTTCACAAAGACATCAGGAAAAGACCTGGAGCACCCAGAAGATCAGCTTGGTCGTCTGCATGATTTTAGGGACTGTGGGAAGGGAGAAGTGGAAAGCATCCTTCTGGCTTTATAGAGGATGGAGGTGGGAGTGGCGGGAGATAGACTCGTTCGTTCGCGGTTGTAAAGGCTTTGTTAGGTCTCTCTGCCTTCTGAAGCAATGAAAGCACATGTGAATAAGCCATCCCATCCTTTCTCAGCATCCTTCCCAGTCCTTAAGGCAAAGGAAGATAGCACTGAAGCACTGGTAGTGTCGTGAGGAAGAAGACGCCCCATCACCTGGAAGCACTTCAGCAGACTGCATTTCTATTGGGCCTTACAGACGACCTCTGAGCAGGGGTAATGGGCTGGAGAGACGATATATCCCTGCGTGCACAACAGTGAACAAAAGCTATTAAGAACCTAAAAATTCCACAGTCACCCAGTGGTGGTGCCACACGCCTTTATTCTCAGCACTTGGGAGGCAGAGACAGGCAGATCTCTGTGAGTTCGAGGCCAGCCTGGTCTACTGAGCGAGTCCCAGGACAGCTAGGGCTGTTACACAGGGAAACCCTGTCTCGAAAAACCAGAAGAAAAAATATTTCAGTCATTCTTCATCTGTTTTATAGCCAGGCAAAGTATAGCCACTAAAACCTTCCATGTTTGAGCATTTTAAAATCATGAATATTCAGAGAGTAAAGAAAGTTGAACAGCTGGCCCATTGTAAACGCACAGTGGTAGAAGTATGGAGTTCAAATGCCCACATACTGTTGCATTCTTTGAAGGATGGAGTAATTTGCTGTCTGTCAAGTCCTTACCTATCGAATGTGACACTAAGGGCCCTGGGGCTATGGGGCTCTGGTTGGAAGACTAAGTCTTCAGCCTAATGAAGTCTTTATCTTGTACTAGGAGGCCCACAAGTCTGTCTCTGTATCTGCTGTGATGTGAAACTATTGAGGAAAGCCAACAGGAGGATGGATCACTTCTGCTCACGACGAGGGTGCTAAGCCTTTCCCCAACACTTGATATTTGTATAGGACGTCAAGTCCTAGCAACGTCTTTTCTATGCCATTCATGACTGTCTCAACACTGGGCGTTTAGGTCGTTTTTTTAATATATTCATCTCCAATAAAGATGAAAATGCTCAACTCTGAGAGGTCGGAAGATAGCTGGCACTTGGGGGTTAGAGGGAAGATGTGTGTCTCAGAATAACCAGTTGGCTAGTCTTGGTGTTACCCACCTAAGGTTTAATGTACTTCAACCTTTGCAGTAGCTTGAGACCAGAGCAGGAAAATCAGCCACCTTACTGGTAGGACAGACACATTGGGGTCATGGTCTTGGATCCAGATAGGGCAGATTGCTACTAACTGAAGGATAATCTCTTCGACTCCGCCCCCCCCCCCCCCCCCCCACTAAGTGGTTGTACTCTCCTCCCAAGAATCCTGGTGGGTATCTAATGAGATAATTCATAAGAAGCATCTTCTATATTGTTTAAAGTTGAAAATACTCAAGTCAGAAGTAGATTTTAGTATCAACTAATTGAGAAAGGTCGGACTCAAAAACCTTTGTTCTTTCTGTTAAAGAAAAAAATGATTTATCAGACAGTAACAACTACTAAAAGGCATCCAATCCAAAGAGAGGGTTTTCATTCCAAACTGCACTTCTGTGTCTTCAGTGACTAACAGCCCACATTTGCCAGTGCTCTTGTTAAGATGGATATTCTACAATGGTGCCCACCACTGTGTCTTAAGAATCTGTCACACTCTTTCTTAGGCAGCTACTTTAAGGTTAAATGCCTTTTACAAGAGTAAGTCTTGGGCTCAAAAAAGGAAGGGCCCTGTGTCATTAATCATTTAACACACATGAGGACACGCCACCTGTCAGGCACCAACAGCCTGTGTCACCTGAGGCCCATGGCCAGGGAACACCTAGTGCTCACCTTCACATTCGATTGCTGCCTTCTTGAAAATGTTTCCCCTTACTAGTTTTTCAACAAGAGGTTCTGCATTTTATTCTTATCTTTTAAATAATGTAGCCAGAATGCAGCAAGATAATTCAGGGGTATAAGGGAGCTTGTTGCCAAGCCTGGGGTCCTGAATTTGACCTCAAAACCCATATGATGAAAGGATGAAACCAACTCCCAGAAGCTGCCCTCTGACCTCCACACAAACACTGGCACTCATAAACACACACACACTAATGTAAAAATATTTTTAAGATAGTGTAGCCAGCTCTGATATTTATTGCCTTTCTAAGCATTATGCCTGTACTTTACACTAAGAATCTGTGAAATCAGTCAAAATAATTTTCTTTGCAGTTTCATGTGATTCTAGAACCCTTATTTCTTAACTCCAAATCGTTTGCCTCTTCTGTGGCTCTCCATTCAGAAGCACACTTGCACCTAATAAATATATGAATAAAAGCCAAATTCAAGGTAGCCTGGTTTACATAGCAAGTTTTAGGTCAATCAGGACTTAAAAACACTGTCTTAAAAATGCACATATGTACATAAACATATGTACATGAGTCAATGGATACACATGTGTCTCCATTTGTGTACCTGTGGTCTGAGTTGCGTAGCTAAAAGAACTGTGAGCAAACCGCTAAAGCAGACACCAGCTCTTGTACTTGGTTGTTAAAATGCCTTCTCAGACCACAGTTCTGAGAGGAACTTAATGTCCCAGCCTTCCCAACACTGAAGTGTTAGATTCTTTATGTCCCTCATCCTCACTGGAGAGAAACTTACACTGTTCAGAGTCTCAAGTTTCTTATCTGAAGGGTTCATAACCTCCCCACCTAAACTGCATTCTCATAGAGCACCACACGAAGACAACGATGTTGTTGGCTGTGACATCTGAGATCAAAGATACAGAAGATTGTCTCTGTCCTCATGGAACCCATGAACTGGCAGAGGACAAAGTCTGACCCGCGTTGCTAGAGCAGAAGTAAGCTATATTTTGGTGAGAATTCATAGTGCTGAAGGAACATGTCCCATTCCTTCTAAAAACTTTTTATCATTTTGACCTTAAGGTCTACTCAGTAAGCTTGAAACCACAATCACAAGTTCATCTTCACACTCAAGACATCTCTTCATCCAGAACCGCTATTCTTTTTTTTTTAAAAGAAGGGTCACATTAATCCCAGAACTCAGGTGGATATCTGAGTTTAAGGTCAGCCTGGTCTACAGCTAGTTCCAGGACAGCAAGGGCTACACAGAGAAACCCTGTCTGGGGATGGTGAGGGTTTCTCATGTATCTCTGACTGACCTATTCTATTTGATGTATAGGTCTGGCAGGCCTCAAAATGACAGAGATTTGCCTGCTGCTGCCTTCCAAGTACTGGGATTAAAATTGTGCACCGCTACACGCAGCAAAGGCCTGAAATATATCTACATTTTAGGCTGGCAAAATGGCTCAGCAGGTAAAAGGGGGTTACCACCAAGCCTGATGACCTGAATTCAATTCCCAGGACCCACACAGTAGAAGACAAAGGCTACTGCAAATGGTCCTCTGACTACATGTATTCACGTGTGTACCCATATACATACATACACATCTAAAAAAAATAAAATTTGCCCACATCTTTACTGACATCATCCAACTTCATTAATTCATTTTGCAAGTATTTATTGATCAGGGGGAAAAACAGTGATCAAGACACACCACAAAACTCAAATTCTACATTGCAGAAAAAAAGCAAGACAAAATACTAAGAAAATAGGAAGTAAGCACAAAGACTTACACCAGCTAGTTAGGTTTCTCTGTAACTACACTGTCTACGGTGACAGGGGGTGAGATGGCCTGCCCTGCAAACCCACCTCTGAAGACGATGAAGAATGAGCTCAGGAATTCATATAAGACTCTCTGTCAACAACCATAGTAAAAACATTCCGTCCTCTCTTGCCGGGGCTATTCCAACAGTTCCTCTTCTCTACCTCTTTTTACACCCTTCAATTTTCTCTGAACAGCAAAGGGACTTTTTTTCTCTAGTACCAAGGAAGGGTCTGGCATGTGTAGGCATGCACTCGACCACTGAGCTGTATCCCCAGCTCTCTTGTACTGAGACCGCCTCACTAAGGTGCCCCAGCTGAACACGATCTTGTGATCTTCTGGCCTTAGCCCGGAGCAGCTGGGATTACAGGCCTGAGTCATACCTGTTGTCGAGCTACTGCAACCAAAATCAGACAACAAAATATAGCTCTGCCCTGAAAAGCGCTTAGATTTTACTAAGCGGAAACAACTCAACCATTTATCATTAACACACACTTACGTCAGAAAACAGTCGTCGAAAGAAAAATCATGAGAGCGACTGGGGAAGGTGCGACCAGGCTGCAGTATTTAATCGCTCACCAGACCGGTTCAAGCCAATTCTCCAGTCTGACATTACCATACCCTCTCCCCGGATTCCCATCTTTTGCTTTCAATACGCTCCCTCTTCACTTGCTTTCTTTACGGCTATATTCTAGTCTTTTTTTTTTCCAGTTTTGTGTGGGCGAGTATTTATTTCGGCGCGTACATGACTGGGCCCGAAGTGAAGTCAGAAAACAAACTTTTTAGAATTCTTTTTTTTCTCCTAGTGGGTCCCAGGATCGAACTCGGGTTGTTGAGACTCGTCGGCCTACGCGTCTATCTTACTTTCAAAGCGCGTGCCCCTCGCGTTTAAGCACTGGTCACATTTTACATTTATTGCTTGTCATCTCATATGCGCTCCTCGAGGATGAGGTGAGAGCCGCCTCGCTCACCGTGAACTTGGCACCTACTATGAAGCTCTTGGGACAAGCGTCCTCCCGGCAGGCCCGGAAGAGCAGTGTGGCGCACAGGAAACCGGAAGTCCCTGCCTACACGGGGGAGGGGCGTGGCTTTCCGGCGAGCGCGTCTCTCCGCTTGGCTCGAGCGCGCGTGCGCGGTGTCTACGTTCTGGTCTGGAACATGGCGGCGCGGTCGCTGTGGGCGGTGCAGCGACTGCAGCGCCTCCTGGCCTCGGGGCTTGTGTCAGAGAGCAGGTAAGCGGGGCAGCGGGGCCGGGCAGGCCGTGGCGTGGGCGCGGCGATGGGCAGCTGTGGGAGGGAAGGCGAGGGCTAACTCGGCGCCAGCGAGGACCGGCCTCAGGCCCCGTGACCCGGCGTCCACGCCGCGTCTCTTGTAAGGGAGGCTGAGGCCCATCGGCGCGCTTTTCCCGGTCAGGGAAGATAAGTGCATCCGAGGCCACGTCCTAGGAGATAGAAGCCAAGCAGGACTGAATCGTAAACGTAACTCGTCCCTAGCCCCTGCGCCCCTGTGTCTTCCAAGGATGTCGTGGGGTTCTTAACCAGACTCCATGTGATCCAGTCACTCTCTCCAGCTCTCGGGAGCATCGTTTGACTTGTGTGTAAAAGGAGAGCCATGGATGGACCGTTCCCCAAACGCCCCTTCCACCAGTGAAATTCGTGCCGTCAGTGGCCTGCAGAACTATGGGTAGTCGCTTTTTATTATTTCGTGTTTAATAACTTGAGGAATCTAGAATTTAGGAAAATTTACCAACTTTTCCAAACAAATCTTAAGTTACCCCGCCTAGAAACCAGCCGCGGTTCTCGAGCAGGTGTTTTTGTATTAGTGAACACGGTTCATTATTCTCAGGGGATACTCCTGAGAAAGAATTTTTTTTAAAGGCTGTCTATAAGTTCGAGAATTCTGACTTGTCAATTAGCTGCGGGGAAATCCAGGAAATTTGCGTGACCATTTGTCATTCTTTTTCCGGTCTTGATGCACCTGATCTAATACACCCGCCCTACCAGAGCTGTGAGGCCTTGAATTAAATGCTTAGGGAGGGGTGGTTTGTTTTCCTACCTTCTGCAGTTTGTTGCGTGAGGTAAGGAAATAATCAAAGACTAGTTTCTTCTGAAGGAGTAATTGAGCATTGGCCTCTTCTCTTCAAACTGGTCATTTTGAACAGCTTTCTTTTTATCCGGGATAAATGTGGTTTTCCAGGAGGGCTGGTCTTTTTGGCTGTATATAATTTGCCCCAGACATATCTACGATAACTATATTTTCTGAACCAAATATTTAGTTAGGACCGTGTATCCTAATTGGATACATGGTTTAGTTGGATATCAACGCTTAATAAAATTCAGGACCAGCCTGTAAGTCTGGGAAATGCCCTTGATTGTGACACTAAGCCAGCTCTTTGCTCTGCCTAAAGTTCTCTTTTCTTAAAGCAGACTCCTATACCTCCCATCCCCTTAAGCTTTTGTTGTCATTTCTGCCACCTCAGTGATCACTGTCCAAGATATGTCTGTGCGTATAAGTAAGAAACTATTTGCTTTAAAGAGCTCTCGAACCCACAGATTGATTAACCTTGTAAGCTTTTCACTTGGGTCTAGGAGGTACAGTGAAAACTTCTAAACTAGAGGTCAGAACTGCCGCAGTTGAAGAGCTGCTCTAAACAAGGTCCAAGTCTACATTTCTGTGTACACTGAACTAAATATCAGATATTTTAGTGGTACCAAGAGCAAGGGCTCACCTTCCTCTGCCCATAGCAGCCAAGGATGGTTTGTTTTGTTTTGTTTTTTTATAACAGAAAAGTTTTATTGCAAGGTCAACTGGCAAGGAGGACAGAGACAGAAAGTTTGCCTCCTTCCCTTGTCAATTGATGGGGAAACTTATAGGCAGAGAGAGGCTATTTCTCATTTAGGTGGTAAGAAGGAGAACAATCTAGAGTTCTTTTCTTTTTTTTTTTTTTTTTTTTTTTTTTTTTTTGGTTTTTCAAGACAGGATTTCTCTGTAGCTTTGGAGCCAGTCCTGGAACTAGCTCTTGTAGACCAGGCTGGCCTCGAGCTCACAGAGATCTGCCTGCCTCTGCCTACCGAGTGCTGGGATTAAAGGCGTGTGCCACCACTGCCAGCTATAATCTAGGGTTCTTTTGTGCCAGTGTAGATGTCATCTTGCCTCTTCACAAGTCATGTGCTTATTAGGGGGAAGTTATGTTTTGTGCTTATGATTTTGAGCTCGTGATATCAAAATGTCACTGGCAAGCAAACTGGCTTGTGGAACTGTTCACACTTTTGTGGGAAGAAGTTTCAAGACAGGATTTCTCTGTGTCGTCCGTCCTAACTATCCTGGAACTCACTGTGTAGACCAGGCTGGCATTGAATTCACAAGAGATCCGCCTGCCTCTGCCTCCCAAGTGCTGGGATTAAAGGCATGCACTACCACTGCCTAGCCAGGACTGTCCCTTCTTAAAATGCCTGTTTGAAACTGCTCTTGAATGGATCCTGTAAGCAGTTCCTGAAAAACAATTTCAAATGCTTTGTCAATTAAGAAATGTATGTCCTGTTGTTGGGACCTTAACCATTTTCATTAGCTATGCAGAATTTTAGATTACATAACTAATTGACTAAAATAAGGTTCTATTTTAGTGACCTGTTCTGTCCAGAAACGACCAGTCATAATTTCTCTTTCATAGCACAGATTTTCTTCCCTTACAGTGTGTGGCCATAAAGTCTTGGAATTCTAAGCCTGAGTTCCTTTTACTCATTTTCCCCTTCTATAAGATAAAGAGTTAGACCAGAATTGTATAACTTTGTTGCTTCCTGGTGTTAAATATTCTGGCTCAACAGAACACTTGCTCTGCATGTGCCTTTCTTTTGTTTGTTGTTTGTTTTGGAGGGAGCACTATTTTTGTTCTTTTGAGACAGACTTTTACTATGCTACCAAATGATCTGCCCATATCAGCCTCCCAGTACCTGAGTTGCAGATAGTCACATGCCACTTTGCCCAGTTTAATTTTTTAGATCTTGATTATGTCATTAAACCTCAAGCATCTCCTCTTAGGGTTTTTCTTCAGTAAAGTAGGGTTTATTGTGAGGAGTGGAGAAAGTCCTCAGTGAGTGAAGTCCTGAGTAAATGCATGTTTTGACATATGCAAGCCATGTCAAAACTCCCTCCGACCCGTGGAGGCATAACACAGCCTTCCGTGGGGGACAGAGTGCAGGTGTTAATAGTGTGTGCAGAAAGATCGCTGTAGTATTCTCCCTCCCTGGATGTTTACAGCCTGAAGACTGCGCCCCTACAGAGATTACTCCTACTGAGATTAACTTAATTCCCTTGTACACCATAAGCCCTGCCCCCTTGTTTGTCTGTGTGTGATAACCTTGTCTCCTTGTTCAACTTTATGCAATAACTCTGCCTCTCTGTTCGATCTATATTACAAACTATATATAATCAAAGCTTCCAGGGTGCTGGGGTTTCTCCAGACAAGAGCCCTGACTACCTGATCCCAGCTTTCTGTCTTTTCTTCACATTCTCACCACCTCAGTCAACTATCCCTGGAGCTCTGCTGGATGCAGCAAGTGGTGCCCAACCAGGGACATGGACAGTGGCTAAGGGAAACTCTTTGGCCAAAGGAGGGAACACTTCCAAGAGAAGTGTATTTGTGCCAGTAAAAAGGAGGAAAGAGATGAAGAGAAAAATAAAATAAAGGAACAAAGGGAGAAAGGGCAGGCGATTTTACATGTCAAGTATAATATGGGACACGTAGACTCTAAAGATAAGCAATTATATCTCAGTATTTAGAGGTTTTTGAGAAATCCTGGAAGCAAGATAAAAAGTTGCAGTCCCATCAGTGTATATTTAGAAGACAGGCATCCCTCGGCAGATTCTTTTCACTAGCAGCCTAAGTTGATACTGCAACGCCTCCCCCCATGGAAATTTCTCTCCTGGATTATTTGGCATCAGAGAAACTGGTATGTTGATTAGTGGCCATTTGGCAATGTCAGGTTGGGTATTGACTGCAACCACTGCTTTGGTAGAGAAACAATTACAGGCCAAACACACAGAGTGGCCCAATAGCCCTTGAAACACCCCATCTTCGTTACAAAAAAGAAATAGTGTAAATGGAGGTTGTTACACGGTTTAAGAGCCATAAAGTCATGCAAGCAGGCAATAGGTCCCTACAGCCAGGACTGCCATCACCTACTGCTACACCATGTTTTCATTTAAACTTAAAAGAACAGCTCCTATGTGGTCAGAATAACACAAGCCTTGGCTACACTGGTCCGAGCCTAGATCAAGAGTTATACCAGAGTTTTTGCTATATTAGTCGTATTTAGTCACACTGAGGTCGCCCTCAGCCATTGGCTGAAGGTAATGCTTGAGTCTCAGGATCCCTGCTCTGCTTCTCTGCTGCTGTGTAGTTCGACTTACTACAAGCTCATTATGGTCTGCAGGTAGAGTTTTTCATCTTGCCAGCCCACTTCCAAATAACCACACAGAGACTTACCATATAAATGTTCAGCCAAGTCAAGCAGTGGTGGCGCACACCTTTAATCCCAGCACTTGGGAGGCAGAGACAGGCAGATCTCTGTGAGTTCGAGTCCAACCTGGTCTACAGAGGACAGGACAGACTCCAAAGCTACAGAGAAATCCTCTCAAAAAAAAAAAAACTGCCAATAGCTCAAGGTTATTACTAGCTAACTCTTACATTTTGAATAAACCTTTTTTTGTTTTGTTTTTGTTTTTCAAGACAGGGTTTCTCTGTAGCTTTGGAGCCTGTCCTAGAACTAGCTCTGTGGACCAGGCTAGTCTCGAACTCACAGGTACCCACCTGACTCTGCCTCCTGAGTGATGGGATTAAAAGCGTGTGCCGCCACCGCCTGGCCCATATTTCTTATCTATGCTCTGCCACATAGAAAATACCTTTTCTCAGTAGGGCAAGTTCATTCTCTCCACATCTCCTCGAGATTCTCAGATTCCGCCCTTCTTGCTAGAGTCCTCTTTTTTTGATTCCTCACCTAACCTTATCCTATCTAGCTATAGACCAATCTGCTTCTTTATTAAACCAATCACAATGACATATATTCACGGAGTATAAAGGAATATTCCATAATAGTCATGATCTGTACCACCAAAATGCTTTATGCAGTGAACTTGTTTCCTCCCAGGAAGAACAGGCTAGGCAGATAGTTAAGCAGTACAACCAATCCTTTTCATCCCGTCACATGTGAAGTGTTAACCCCAGGGGTAACATCCCAGTGCTCTCTGGCAGATGGATGTTACTCATGTCTCTTCCTTCGGGAAGCACAGTGTGTGCGTGTTTAATGCTGATACCTATTCTCAGTTTATGCCTCTGTTCACAAGGGAGGCTGCAGAACATACCATACTGTTCAGTGCATTGCTGCATTTGCCATTTGGGTCTATCTACAACATCTTTAAATGGAAAATGTTCTACCTACATGTCTTCTGCTTTAAAAGCATTTGTGCCCAACATAAAATGGATCACAACACAAGTGTTCCTTACAACCCCCAGGGACAGCTATTGTAGAAAGATCCCACAGATGTCTCAAATAACAAACACTAAAAGGGGAGCTCTGCCCCTACCGATTGTCTAAACAAGGCCTTGTTCACATTAAAATATTTTAAGTAGATTACCTCACTGTAGAGTTGACACTGGCCACCAAAGGACAGAGAAATAAAACCTAAGGTGCTATATGGAAAGATGTCATGACAGGAAAATGGTTTGGCCTATGCTAATGTGGGGGTGAAGGTATGCTTGTGTTTTTCCTGACAGTGCAGAATAACTACTTTGGGTACCTTCGAGGCCTGTAAAGAGCCTGGCTCCAGGTGTGAAGAGACTAGATCCCACAAAGAGTAGCTTTGTAGCACCTGAGGGCAAGAAAACGGCCCAGAGTGGCAGAGTGGTAACACAGCGATGGAAGAGGCCAAAAGGTGAAACAGAAAAAAAGGCACCTTTAATGCCTTTTGTGTCTGGTGTTGGGCACTGTGGTGAACTGCCACTGGACTAATAGTGAAGATTCATCCTGCACATCTGAGAAATAGGAAAGGGGAGATGTAGGAAACCTGAGTGGGTAAAAGTCCTGTGTGAATGTGTGTGATGACACAAACAGGCCATGTATAAGACCCCAGAGCCTCAGGCCCATGGAGGAGTGGCAAAGCCTCCCTCTAGGGGTTGAGTGTGAGTATTACCAGTGTGTGCAGAAAATGTCCGCATAGCTTCTCCCCTCTGGATGTTTACAATTTAAAGGCTGTTCCTCTACAGAGACTACACCTACTGAGATTAACTAAACCTGTCCCCTTGATCTAACTGTACATCAGAAGCCCCCCCCCCCCATGGATCTGTATGTAATAACCCCACCTCCCTAAAGTTTGAACAACTCTACTAATAAAATGCTGAGCTTCCAGGGTGCTGTGGTTTTTTCCAGTAGTGAGCCTGGACCACGTGACTCCACCTTTCTGTCTATCTTCTTCATTCCCTCACTGCCCCAATGAGGTCCATTCCTACAGTTAGGCTGGACATGACAGATTATAATAGCATTTGTTGTGTAGAAGCAGTGTTATCATTCTAGTAGAAAAGAAATGCAAATGTCCATCAGTTGACAAATGGGTAAAAAGGTGTGGCATATCTATCTACACAATGAGCTGTTAGCAATAGAAAGTAACCAATTACTGGTAAATGCAGTGGGGGGGGGAGTGCCTCACCCGTCCCCAATGAGAAAAACTTTTTTAGTATACAGCTGTAGACTCTAGCTATTAAAGCCCTGATCTGAAATATTTCATGTTTTATGTAGGGTTAGACATTATCATAATCTTCAGACCATCTTGGGTCTTTTTATCCCTGTGTCAAAGGAGATTTCCCAGAGCTAAGCAGGTTTTACAGAAGCTGAGATTTGCAAGTTTCTAGTTAAGACATTTTTATCTTTAGCTAACATCTGTCTAATCAGATGTTGGTGATGCTCTCTTCTCAGGGGAAAAAAGCAGATGTGACCCTTTTGGGGCTGGGGCAGAGAAGCCAGCAGTTTAGTTTTAGCTCCTGTGTTTCAGAGGAGAGTTCCTTATGTTCTTTTCTTATTCCTCTGTTACCTAATATTTCCTATTTGTCAGTAAATTCATTCTATTCCTATTCCTTTTAATTAAAAAAAAACTTGTTGGTGTTTTTCTCTTAACACAATTACATGAATGAACCTGAAACACATTCTAAGTGATCATCTATTACGATTCTGTAGACATTAAGCATCCATAAAAGACTTGTCTATAGAAAACAAAGTATCATCAGGTTTACCTGGGGCAAACAGTGTAGGAGGCAGTGGTAAATGATGTGTGAAATACAAGCCCTTTTATGTGACAAAGATGTTGTGAAATTGTGATTTCATGCACAGACTCTGGATGTTGTTCTTTTTTAAAAATGCTCCAAGATCCCCGTGGCAGTAGGCAGCAGAAATGCTGTAGGTCCCAAATGGTGGTGGCAGACAGCAGGCCCTGGGAGCAGCCAGTCCCAGGCAGAGACAGCTGCTGGTCCCAGAGCAGTGGTGGCGGGCCATGTGGCAGCAGGCAGTGGGCCCCAGGCAGAGACGGCTGCTGGTCCTCGAGCAATGGCTGGTTCCAGGCAGGGAGACACATGGCAGGCGGGCAGGAGACAGAGACATGGATAGACATGACATGCAGGGTGAGGTTGAATGTTTATTCAGGGGGTTATGGAGGAGGAAGGGTGAAGGGGGGGACAGAGAGAGAGGGAGAGAGAGAGAGAAGAGGAGAAAGGGACAGAGAAGGGGGGAAGCAGAGAAGTGGGGAGAGAGGCAGAAGTGAAGCAGCCTCTCCCTCCGAGAGGAAGATGGAAAAGAGGAGCGAGCTCAGGCCAGAAGCTGAAGATCAGCCTGCCTCAGCGGATGGGGAGGGGAATGGGTGTGGCTTGTCTCTTAAAGGGACCAAAACCATAACATTCCCAGGTCTTCCTTATAATAAAAAGCAGGCAGGTCAAGGAAGCAGAAAAGGAAAGGCCCAAGATGGCGGCGGGCAGGTCAAAGGTAATGGGAGTGGGCGAAGCTTGTCCCTTAAAGTGACCGGAAAGCACAACACTGGACATGGTAAAAATGTTGAATTGTACACTCTAAATGGTAAATTGTGTGGCATGACAACTGCATATCGTTAAAACTTTAAATGTACTAGTTCCAGGACAGGCTCCAAAACCACATAGAAACCTTGTCTCGAAAAATCAAAAAAAAAAACAACAAAAAAACTTTAAATGTATGGGAGTTTGGCCTGCATTATGTCTGCTCCAACTGCGCACCTGCTGCCCACAGAAGGCATTAGATCCCGGAGAACTGGAGTTACGGGTGGTTGTGAGTTGCCACTGCTTAGATGCTTGGAGTTGAATCCAAGTCTTCTGGAAGAGCAATCAGTGCTCTTAACTGCTGAGCTGTTTTTCTCACTTTAATGCTACTTTTAAGAGCACTTTAAAATCTAGTCAATAAAAACGTGAGGCGGATGAAGCAGAAAAAGCTTAGGACTTCGTAGCATCTGTCACCAAGACTGAAGACTATGAAGAGTCAGCGTGGGGTGCTTTGGGGGCTCTAACTGTTGTGGTTTGCCTTTGTATGGTGGCATTTTTTCATTGTGTGCCACTGCCCTACCCCACCCTCTTAGGGGATGGCTACACCCATTCAGCACTGCCACCCAAAGAACTGCTGGGGAAGACTGCAGTTCTGAGGACCCTCCCGACGTACTCGGTCCCTCCCTTGCTGAGCAAGCTTTAAGGCTAAAAGCTGTTAAACTGGAAAAAGAAGTCCAGGATTTAACAGTGAGTAATAGATTTTATATTATTTATTTGCTCTCTCTTTTCTGATTTAAATGTTCAAGCAAAATTTTTTGTGTTTTTTGTTTTTTTTAAATGAACTTTCCTTTAACATGGTTTTTACCCCTCTTCCATTACTCTCTTGCTGGGTCAATTAAAAAAAAAATCTGGTTTTTAAAAGCCACTTGCTAAGGGTGGTGCCTTGTTTTGCTTCCCTCTTGTTTCCCAGCCCTTAGATAAACTGATGGTTTGGCAGTTAAAGGTGGTGTGGTGCCTTTCAGGTGATAGAGAATAAATATTTGCTGGGTGTGTGAGGTCTTTGTACTCTGGTAAGCAAAGAACATCTGACCTACTAAACGTAGTTGTGACTGAGCACTGTGAGAAGAGATAGCTAAAGCAGAATAATTACCAGGTGGAGTAAAGTCCCTCAGGACTGCAGAGTGCTGGGAAGCAGTCTTATGAGAGCAATTATAGAACCCAGGAACTAAAGAGAAAAGAGGAACAAACAGGATGAGTTAACTGCCTTGAAATAGGTGATAGGTTTTGGTTATTGGTTTTTTTTGTTTGGTTTTGTTTTGTTTTTAAGATTTATGTTATGTATATATTATGTTCTGTCTGCCTGTTTGCTTACACACCAGAAGGCATCAGATCTCACATTACATATGGTTGTGAGCCACCATGTGGTTGCTGGAATTTAAACTCAGGACCTCTAGAAGAGCAGTTAATGCTCTTAACATCTGAGTCATCTTTCCAGTTGCAGTGATAAGTTTTTAAAACTTATTCTTTGTCATGTGAGAGTTCGGGTCCATGAAAGAAAGGTCGGCAGTGTTGCCTAAATGTGAAATTGTTTGCTCTGGATAATGAACTTGAAAAGTAATGTGTTCAAGCTGGTTGTAATTACTTACAAGCTATTGAAGAATAAATAGATTACTGCTTTGGAAATTTGGAGAGCAGCCGGTCTCAGACTAGTTTGTTTTTATTTATTTATTATTTATTTATTTATTTTGGTTTTTCGGGACAGGGTTTCTCTGTGGTTTTGGTTCCTGTCCTGGAACTAGCTCTTGTAGACCAGGCTGGTCTCGAACTCACAGAGATCCGCCTGCCTCTGCCTCCCAAGTGCTGGGATTAAAAGCATGCGCCACCACCGCCCGGCTACTAGTTTGTTTTTAAACAGCGACTACTGAAGACTAAACCCAGGGCCTTGTGCATGCTGAGAATGTACTCTATCACTGAGCTGTGTCCCTGCCTCTATTACAAGGGCAAGATTTATAAAGTAAAAGCATTCTTTACCACTGACTTCTCACCTTTGATTTTGCTTTTGTTATTTAGCTGAGATACCAGAGAGCTGTCGCTGATTGTGAGAACATAAGGAGACGAACCCAGAGATGTGTAGAAGACGCCAAGATATTTGGTGAGAGATGATTCATAATACAGTAAATTTATTTGAAGGACTTGTACCTTTGTAAGCACTTTAAATTAATTGTAGTAGAAATGCATCTGAGACCCCTAACTGATACATCCCATACCTTCCACTCTCCCCACAGGCTTTCTCTGCTGCACATGGAAATGGTGTCATGTTAACCATTGTATAATAATGCTGGCCTTTATTTTTCTAAGGATGTACAGTTGCTACAGTTCCAACATTCTAGTGTATAACAAATAATATTTTTTAGTCATTGATGAAACAGTGAATTATTGTGACATTCAAGAGGAAAATCCAAAGAGCAGTGCATAACCAGGAATGCTAAAGTTTGCGTCATGTAAGCAGCATTGGTCTGTATGCACAGGGAAAGTTTATACTGCTGTGGGCAAGAATCCTTTATTGCTGTCAGTGCTTTGCAAGTTGGTTCTTTATAGAACAGCCTGAAAGAAGGTCAAACTTGAAAGTGTGTGTGTGTTCGAGCACTTGTGCACTTGTGTGCATGTGTATCCAAGTCTATAACAAAGCTCCACAGATCATAGCCAGCTGCCAGTTAGTAGTTTTGAATTTCATGGGTTTTTTTTTTTAAAGTTCATATGAACTTATTTTCTCTTTACTTACAAAACATAAAATTTTTGACTTTTGCCTCTCGTCCCACAAACCTTAAATTGCTTGCTGTGTGGCCTTTTACAGAAGAAAGTTGTTGGCTGCTGAGCTGTGGAAATGTCTTGTTCCAAGTAGAACAGTTAACAATGGGGGAACTTCTGATGTTCGACCTGCTTGATGAGTAATGTGGATGGACACTGAAGTCAAGCATTGTAGTTAGCACTAGTTAGACATCTAGGAATGAATTCATGTTAACTAACGGCCAGTTTATTGACTTAAAACAATGTATCTATCCAAGGACACCACATTTGCCTATGGAGTTTCCTCCTGGCCGCCAGAGATACTTAGGAAACTGAAGGGGTTGAGATGAGCGTGGAGGGAGAAGGAAAGTATAATTTGGTTTTGATTTTGGTTTGTGTCTTTTGTGTCAAGATCTCTCTATGTAGCCCTCGCTAACCTGGAACTCTGTATAGATCAGGCTGGCCTCTAACTCACAGAAATTCCTGCCTCTGCCTCCCAAGTGCTAGAATTAAAGGCATGAGCTACCACACCTGGTGGAAAGTATGTTTTTAACTGACATGTCATAACAACTATCTGACCTCCTTGCAAGCATAGTTTTAACTCAGTAGTTAAATTGGGACTTGGGAGATGGTTCAGTGGATAAAGTAATTATTTTGCAAGCATGAAGTTCTGAGTTGGGATACCCAAAATTCATGTGGCAAAAAGGTCAGGTGTGTGACTAATTTCAGTGCTGGGGTGGGGAGGAGACAGGCAACTCACTGGACTCTCCTCAGTTTGGCTGAAATGTCTGGTTTTGTGTCCAATAAGAGTCTTCATCTAAAAAAAAAACTAGAGCAAAATATCCATCGTTAACCTATAACCTGGTGCACGTTGAGGCAAACGTGCATATATCACACACGAAATAATCATAATACAATAATGAGAATGCAGTCGGAAACTGAACTTGGGCTTCTGTAGCCAAATCCCCACTACTTCACTCATTTAGAAGCAAAGTCCCCCCGGCAGTGTGCAGATCAGCACAGAAGCTTGCTGCTTTAAGACTTCTACTCGATGGCTGAGAATGTGGCTCAGTGGCAGAACCATGGGCTTGGGCTTAATCCCCAACACAAAAACCCAGCATCTGCTCTCAGTCAGGGCTTGTTTCCTTGCTTGACACTGGCACTTTTTTCTTTTCCTTGTGAGCCCATCTGCATGCCTGTAAGTCAGTGGGCATGTTGCTAGTATACTGCTGTTTGGCTAATGTGCCACTGTTTTCCTCAAGAAACTCTACTAGTAGAGTCTGGGAAGTTAAAAGTAGAATTCCTTCCTCTCCTTTGGTCTGCCACATCTGGTCAGTTTTCTCAGGTCTACCTGTCGGTATTTTTATTGCTTACCTGTGACTAGTCTAGGTGGCTGCCCACCTTGGCGTAGCTATAAACATGTCAATAGATAAGTCTACTCTTTACCAGCCCCTGCTGGGCATTATGCCATGGATGTCCAGTGGTGACCATTCCTTATCCCGATCAGAGTGGAAACACTGGCTTTACTTTCAGCTTGAAATAGTTCACTTGCTCTAAAAGGTTTCTGTGGACCTTTCCCAGGTCTCCCTAACAGGCCTTAGAAAGGATACTCACCTCATCTGTAAGTGTGCCTTACCTTCCTATCTAGGCAGCCATGAACAAGTGGCTCTCGCCATCCTTAGCATAGTGTTGGCTTTTCTTATTTTGTGTTCTCCGCCCCCACCCTCCCAATGAAATATTCCTATCTTATCTCTTGAGAGTGGCCTTTGCACAACTAAGATAAGCCTGTTTTTAGTCTATTTTATATAGGTGTATTTAGCCCAAATTGTATCTTTTCCTGGTTTCCCAGTAGACAGACAGACACAGTTTGCAAAAACTGACTCTGACTTGTCAGTTGAGGTTGAATGGTTGAGCTGATCCCCAAAGTCCTGCATAGCAACCTTCCCACTCTCAGAAATACTAAGTATAAAGTGAGCTACCTCTTTGCCTACTCCAGGTTCTACCCCTAAGGACAGCGTTGTTCTCAGACTTGGTTCTGTTTTCTGCAGGAATCCAGAGCTTCTGTAAGGACTTGGTGGAGGTGGCAGACATTTTGGAGAAGACTGCCGAGTGCTTTTCAGAAGGAACCAAACCTGAGGACCACAAGCTTACTCTGGAAAAAGTCTTTCAAGGACTGTCCCTTTTAGAAGCAAAGCTGAAGAGCGTGTTTGCCAAGCATGGCCTAGAGAAAATGACACCGATTGGTGACAAATATGACCCTCATGAGCATGAACTCATCTGTCACATGCCAGCAGCTGTAGGGGTACAGCCTGGCACTGTGGCATTAGTACGGCAAGATGGCTACAAACTTCATGGCCGCACCATTAGACTTGCCCAAGTAGAAGTGGCAGTGGAGTCTCAGAGAAGGCTGTGAACAAGCCCCCAGGAACTAAAACTCTCGCAGGTTCTGGCACCTGTGTCTCCTTTATTTATTAAGCTGGTTTGTATTATACATGAGGTCCTTCGTGTGCTCCACTTTGGATTTAGTCATATTGGCTTTATCTCTACAGTATCTTATTGGTTTATGTGGCCTGTTTGGTCTCATCAGAAGTCCTGCCACTGGGCATTTGAACAATGTGACGAGTGTCCTATGGCCTTTTTCAAAATGTTTACAAAAATCGTTTAAGTTGGTACTCTGATGACTGAATCCAAAATCCCTTAATTGTGTTTTCAACTAATTTCTGGAATTAGTGCAGCATCGTGTGTCTTATACTTTATGGGAAAGGGAGATGGTAGGGATTGGTGTGACATTTAGGTACTTAGATTGACAAAGCTTTACCCTTGTATAAATTTAGATCATTTGGGTTGACATATAGAGAGATTTTTCAAGGCTTTTTTATTTCATTTTTTATTTAGTTATCTTTTTTACTTGTAATCCCTGCTAGGGGTCACACGTTATTCCGTAGCCGCCCCTTTCTTGTCCCTTTTGGAAGGGCTAAAGGGTCTGTCTGGCCAGTCTTCCTTTTTTTGTTTATGAGGTGTGCTCTTTTACTAAACTGATCTCAAGTCCAAGAACAGGTAAGCTCTTGACAACACAACCCACTCCCAGGGAGACCAAAAGCCTCCATAAATCTCGAGTTGGAGAGTCCAGCATGGGGGGGCCAAGCATAGTAGCTGACTGTTCAAAATTAAAAACAAAGTATTAGGGTGGATAATTTTTGCAATACACAAAAGTAATGCTGCTGTCTCATCTCACTTGCTTGCTCTCGGATGACCTGGGCATCCTCCTTTCTAGATTAGGGTGGGGTGCTTCTTTGGGGAGGACAAGGGACTTCCTGTAGCAACAACAAAATGCAAAGTCTTCAACCACATTGCAAAACTTTGGGGATGCGTATCCCAAATCAGCTGCTGTCACCTTCACCATTCCAGTTTTTAAATCTTGAATCAAAAGCACCAATATATATATTTATAATTGAGAAAAAGAACAAAGTTGTCTCAGGGTTTTTTTTTCCATACACATTTTGTCAAGAAAAGGTGTAAACACAGCTCCGTCATTGTCCACCTAGAATCATTTGCTGTATATGAAGGAAGGACCGTTGTATTCCTCCTTGCTGAACCAGGAGGCCGTAGTGGAACTGCCTATCCACATGGAGTACTTGGACTTGGGGAGAATGGTGTTGATCTTCACTGTACTAGGAGCCAGAGCAGTGATCTGTATCCTGGTGTAATGATGCCTAGGTACATGGTGGTACCTACAGGCAGCACTGCGGTGGCATAGACATTTTTGCTGATATTGACACCGCACTTGATGACAGAATTGAAGATAAGTTCATGGACACCCAAATAGTCCACACCCAGAAAGGAAGGCTAGAAGAGCGCCTGGGGGCAGCAGAATTGGTCCTTGCTCATAGTGATGACCTGGCTGTCAGACGTAACTCTTCTCCAGGACAAAGGATGCAGCAGCAGGCATGCCTTACTGGAAGTCCAGGGCAAAATGGCACAATTTCTTGATATTAGATCAGTTTCCTGCTTGGCTATGACGAGGTTGTAGCCATGTTTATTCTGGAACTTCATGAGTAGGTCCTGTAGATGGGCTCTGTTAGGGGTGTGGGGGTGTGTTTGTGTGGAGTTCTGCCGGCCAGCACGGGCTGGAACCAAGAGTCTCAGCGGAGGGTATCCAGGTTGAATGAATACACAGAGCACGAGGTTGAGGTGGAACAGCCTCTCCCTTTATTCTCTTGCTGGGGATGGTTTTATACCATGGAACCAAATGAGGAGGGGGCTGCGAAGGGACTGTAACCTGACCCTGGCAGGGATCAAGGAACAGTCACCATGCACTCAAAATTCCTCCTTCCCCGCTCCAGGAGCAGAGGGAATTTATTATGTTTTCCTTGTAGATAAGTACCTCAAATGGGGGCAGGGATAACAACTCGGGGCTGCAGTTCCCACAGAGTTCATCATAAAGAGTAGTTCCTGTAGATGAGCACTGTGTGTGTGCGCGTCCATCTCTGGAGTCCATCATGAGGCAGGTGATGCCAACAGAGTTGTACAGACAGCACAGCCTTGGAGTGTTGATCTTGAGCATGATCTAGGTCTTTTCATAACTGGTGTGGGGTTAAGGGCACCTTGGTAAGCAGCAAGTGCTCTTCCAGGGCCACACGTGGTTCATTGTATAAGGTGTAGTATCATCTCTGTTATCCAAGTTGGTGAAAGTATCACTCTCCATGAATACCTCAGCATCAGGATGCTTTTGGTCTGGGCCTAATTGCCCATATAGGAGTCCTACTGGCCCATGTCCACCATCATATCCCCAGTTTGGTGGATAAAACACCATAGAAGCAAGAGAGACTTGGACGCATCCCCGCCTATGCAGCCAGCTTTGTACATGCTGGGGCCAGTGTAGCAGTATCTGTTTCCATGGCAGGTGGTAGCAGGTCGAGACTCAGCAGCAGAGAGACTTGTGTGTGTCAGGTGAGTATGGGTTCTGCAGATCCTCTTCCCTCATAAGCAGTTATTTTCAGGCCCTTGGGTATGAAATACCCGTGACAATACCAGCGGCAAAAGACCCAAACACAATTGTCTGAGTAATTACCTACAAATGGCTGCTTCCATCAACCCTTACTCCTACCCTTTGTCAGATTTGCCCTGGGATCTTATATTATATTGTATGGGGAGGTAATGGACAAAATGCTGGACTCCCATGAATTTCTCATCTAATAATGCTGAGGTATGCCTTTTTTCCTTTGTGGTTGAGACTGACAAATTACTACTTCTCACATCAACAAACTTTAATTTGTGTTTTTAGTACTGGGGATTGAAGGCAAGGTCTCCAGAATGCTAGGTAAGCACTTTGCGACTGAGCTCTGCTCCCAGCCCTGACAAGCTTTGTTTCCTGTTATTAAATCCATCTTAAGCCATATTTGTTTGAACGTCTGTCTCCTCATTTATATATTAACCTTGTAAATTTTGTGAACCTGTATATTTTTTACATCTTAACTGATGCTGTATAAAAGATTTTACTTTTACTAAGTTAGCCAAAGGAGCACCAAGGTTCTCTTAACATAACCCTGCCAGGCAGGCAGGGATAGCCTTGGTTAACAACTGCCTGGGAGAAGCAGTGCTGGCCTGTCTTGGGATAGCCTTGACAATATTTTACATTGTAAATTTCCCCATTTGTCCAAACAGTCAAACCTTGTCATTCCTGGCTCTGTGAAATGTGGTTAATGACTCGAAGTATACCTCTGGAGCCAGGAAACTATAGGCTCCAGCGATTTCTGTTCAGGGCTGGCTCCCTATGGTGCATTAGCCAGGGGCAGTCGCCTACTGGCTTGCAAGTTTCTCTTTTACTCATCTCGTGGGAAGGCCTTTCAATTCTGTTACATAGCGTTACTCTTCCTGCTGCTTCCAAGCTCAAAAATCCAGTCGGTTTTAGGACAGACTCGAGACAGCCATCCTAGATTCTTTGGACTGCCAATTAAACTGGTACAAACTGGGTGAATGAGAAGAAAGCAAACTCCTTTGTCTATGTGAACACAAGAGTCGTGCAAAATCTGAGAGTCGGCCTCAGAAAACTGGTGCTTTGATCACATCCTGACCTACAAAAGAGGCCTGGAAGACAAAATTATGATGAGAGTGGGTGGTCTCAGACGTCTGGAGAAGCCCTTTGATACATAAAACTGCCAATGTGCGTTTTCTTTCAACTACTGCATTAAAAAAGGAAAGTCAGTCTCAGCTACTCCCGTGACTGCAGTTTCCCAAAATAACAACCAACACAATATATAGCAAAGACTATTTTGGAGCGGCATATTCTAATCTCGGACTTCCAGTCATATTTTCAGGTGGTAAGTTAGCCCTCGAGTATGAAGTCATCCTCCTTTGACCACCGTCACATTTAAACACCTGGACAAAGATAAGACTTGGAGATGGTGTAAAGTGTACTGGGAGCAGTAAATAGTACTTTTTTAAATTGTTTCTTTTTTATCTTTTACACAGTATTTTGCCTGCATGTGTATCTGTGTAAAGGTGTTGGAACTCCTGGAGCTCAAGTTTAAGACAGTTGTGAGCTGCCATGTGGGTGTTAAGAATTGAATCCAGGTCCTCTGGAAGAGCAGCCAGTGCTCTTCTCCGCTGAGCCATCTCTCTAGCCCCCAAGGTTTTTTAAAAAAAAAATATATGACCATATTTTATATGTGTGTTTTGTCTCCATGTATCTCTGCACCATGTCCTTGTGGAGGCCAGAAGAGTGTGTGAGATCCCCTGGAACTGGAGTTAGAAATGGTTTGTACACCATGTGTAGGTATACTTTAAAAGTATTATTTATTGTAGACTGAGACATGACTCGGTGGTTAAGGGCATTCCGACTGCTCTTCCAGAGAACCCAGGTTCTATTTCCAGGACTCTGCAGTCAAAAGATTCTCTTGACAAGGCATTTTACCATTTTACTAATTGCCTGTTTAAGGAACAGTGAAATTCCACAATATGAATTTGCCTTCGTTCCTACAAGATTGACAAATGGAAACAGTGAGAAAATGGGCCATGTATATTTTAGAGTTACTTATCCTTGCAAGTGAACTAGAACAGACTGTTGTTTTAGGAGTTCTGTTATCTAGAGTGTTCTGATCTCTCCACACATTTTTGCAAGTAGATCAACGTTAGGTTCTTTATTCTGTTTTGCCGACTTAAATAACGAATTCGCAATGAGAGGAAGCTATAATAAAAGAAGCTCAAAGAAGGGACATGGAAGCCATAACAGTGTAGTAGAACTCAGACTTGGTAGCATAGATTTTTGAGGGCAGTTCTGGTACCTGTGACTTCTGCCACCAGTCATTCCATGTTTACAAAATGGTTATAATTCATGACACTGAGGATTACGTGAAACTCCAGTAAATTCTCCTGTTTTGTTACTTAAATTATCACAGTTTTCTTGCATTTTTATGATTGCCTAGGGGAAAGGGAAGACTGGCTAAGTGATGGTATTAAAAATAAATTTTGAGCTAACCTGCTGTGACCTATGTGGCTTGGGTCCTGGAACCCTGGCTAGGGTTGGTAAGGGAATAAAGAGCAGACAGACATACAGTCACACGCATAGTGAAACCAGGATCAGGTGGGGTTTTCTAATGCCTCTACTGCTGGGTGTTCATTAGGTAGAGCACAGGGGAAGCCATTAGCTAGTCTCAAAGGAAGCCTCTGGAGACCAACAATCCCAGCTGTAAACATCCAGGAGGAGGATGAAGCCTCAGTTGCTAGTCTTTGCACACACTGATTAGTCTTCCATAGACACTCAGACTCCAGAGAAAAGCTTTGCCAATTTTCCATGGGCCAATTAAGACCTTGTAGTCCTCAGCAGGCCATACCCATATCAAAATACATACTCACTTTGCTCCCTCAGGCTTTCCCACCATTACACCGACTGTCTTAGGGTTCCTCTTGGTGTGATGAAATACCACAACCAAAAGTAAAACGAAGAGGAAATGGCTTGTTTTGCTTACACTTGTATATCACCGTTCATCATCAAAGGAAGCTGGGGGCAGGAACTGTTGCTGGAGACATGGAACTATTTACCGGCTTAGTCTGCTTTCTTGTGGAACCCATGGTGACCACCCAGAATTGACTGAGCCCTTTCCCATCAGCCACTAATTTAGAAAAATGCCCTTCAGGCCTGCCTAAGGCTGAATTTTATGGAGGTTTCAAGGTCCCCTCCCCTCAGAAGACACTAGCTCTTGTCAAATTGACATAAGTCTAGCCAGAACACTGACCATTCAGAATACATCTTTCCCTTCCCGTTCTGTTGTTTGGTTGACCTTGTTACAGAAATATGCACTTTTAGACCGAAAGAACGATGAAATTGAGTCCAGACCTTTAATTGTTTTCATCTTGATGGCTTTACCATAAAAGACCTCGGTGTGCTGGGATGGTGACTCATGTCCTTGATCATAACACTTGAGAAGCACAGACAAGAGGATCTCTGTCAATCTGAGGTCCGCCCAGTA